TAATTTTTGCAAATCAAAATGCAGTTAAACTAACCAAAGTTCAGAGTAACCACGACAAATCTATCGTAAGTAGAACTATAAAATAGTTGCAATGACTACATTTCATTGTAGTAATCACTTCTCCGGCCATAGTTACCGTAACCCATGCAAAATTGTTAAGGACTTTTTGACTATAATTCTATGGTGATGGAATATAGTCAGAAGAATCATATTCAGTGTTCTCTCAGTGTGTAATTGTACGTAGATACGTCCACGGTCTTTCCTTCTTTCTCGAATTTCCTAGAAACTCCTTGAATTTTTACGAAATTTTAAGAAACTTCTCGAATTGCCTCGAAATGTCTAAAATTTTCTAGAATGCCAATAGAATGGCCAAAATGACCCCCCCATATCGAAACCATAGACGTATCCACGTCAAAAAGGACTAGAAAATCGTGGCAAATTTTATTATGCGAAAGGTAATTGTGTCTTCGAGTATTCCTTGTTTTCATTATTTTTGTATGCACTTCTAATGTTCTGATATCCAATATACTCATAATGTAACGCGCAACTATAGAGATAAATGAGAATTTATTCGAATTAACTGCTGATTTACTTCTCTCAAGTAAATATGGTCTACACATTAGGACATTTTTCTCTCAGCGCAGTCAATGAACACCGAGAATATGAATAAACATCTCTGGAATTTCCTGAATACACAGAGGAGATATCTGTCATAATTTATGGGCAAGTGATATCACCGAATAAAATCAACAATTATCACCTCGAGTGTAAATTCACGAGATAATTTTGTGAGGAATTGAGTATATGAATACCTGAAGACTGCCACTTGCATAAATAAGAATTGCACACGGCGTGAAACTATTTGACATTTAGACACGTCTGATATTCAGCTGTTGGAGGCTACGAAACCATCGATTGCCGTAATTGCGCTAGTAATACCCTACATCGGTGTACTTTTTGGAAATTTTTATTATTTTACAGTTCCACTGAAATTTCATGAAATTTGATCATTGAAAATCCAAAATTTCATAGAAAACTCAATGAGAATTTTGAATTTCAGTTCAATTATTCCATGACAATTAGTAGAAATCAGGAAAGTTCAGATAAACATATTCTTTAATTTTCACTTAATTGCAAATTGAGTGTCATTTGGTGCTGAATATTCATGTTTTTATTGGACATTTAATCAAATTCCATAATTTTTCTCCCTAAATCGAATTCAATGTCACTCTCCTGAAAATTACTGGCCAATTGTCTATTTTAATTTTTTTCTAACAGTGTGATGGAGCTTAAAGAACTTCACTTTATTCTAGTCCAACTATAGGGACTGAATTGCCATTATATTGAAGTTTACGTCAATGAATTGAATCTTTTCATGTCAATAAATATCAAGGAAATGAATGAACATCTCTGGAATTGCTTCAGTACATACAGCAGAGTGAAGATGTATCTGTCATAATCTATAAATAAGCAATATTACAAAAAAGCGTTTACAATTATCACCCCAAGTGCAAATTCACAAGCTCATTTTCAGTGAAAATAACTATATTACTACCTGCAAATTGCCACTTGCATAAATGAGTGCTTGGCACGGCGTGAAAATATTTGACATTTCGACACTTCTAATATTCAGCTGTTGAACACTCCACACCAAATGATCGATTACCGTAATTGCGCTGGCAATGCCCTACGGTACACTGCAAATTAGTTGTACCATGAATAATTTCATCATTTGTATCTCGTTAATAAACAGGTGCAACAAGCAAACCTTCCTCTCAACTTGTGTTTCTGTATCACTGGCCAGACGCTACTGTCAATCAGTCCCAATTACAACATAGTATTCATGAACGACGTGGTTCTCCTGCTCAATTCCATTTATTCAAACCGAGATAATTTTGAATTTGGGGGAATTTACACACCAAATTTTATTTATAAATAGAAAACCACTTAAGTTCATTAGCCAAAAGTTGATGCTTTATTTAGCCGGAATTTACCTACCACATGAGATGAAGACATTCCTTTATCGCGATAAAGATAAATTTTCAATTTGGATGATTTTTCCCTTTTAGTCACCAAAATTTCTTACACTGTAAACTATTGAAAAATTTCCCGCTAGAATTTCAATGGAAATTTTAAGGAATTTTCTCATTGAAAGTTCTCAATTTGATGGAAAAAATCGATAGAAACTAATTTTTGGTTCAGTTATGCCACGAAAAATAATAGGAATCAGGAAAATTTAACGTAGTTTGGTACTAAATATTTATAATTTATTGAAAATACAATTATGATGGGAAATTTTTGTCTTCCTGCTGCTCAAAATTTGAAATTACTCCAAAACTCTCCATAAAACTTCAATTCGTTTTCAACAGTGTAAATATAATTTTGCTAAAACAGCAAAACTGTAGTTACACCATTGCTAAAAAAATTATTAACGAAATGAAAATATGTGAAGTTCATCAAATTCGTGTAGGTTTGCCCATAGTACATTTACTCAAGGGATTTTTCTTCTGAAACAGCGAGAGGTAGGCGAGAGACGGGAGTAGACGTGTGCCTAGGTTATCTGACGCTTGGAATTCGCTAATTGTCGGCGGCTATATTTGAAACTCCCGCCTCCTTGGCGTGTTTTCGTGCACAGGCCGTCTCGGTTACACATGCACACATTGCAAAAACGGAAAGGCTCCAAACGTTACTTCCTAAAGTAAATGCATGCACACAGTAAAATGCAGCTTTCTATCTCGTCCCGGGTGGTGTATCGTGTTTGTGCCGCATGCGGCAAAACAGTGAATGGCCCGTCCCTTTGTGAATAGTTTGCGATGATCGCGTGACGATTTGTAGAGCAAGATTAAAAATTGAAATGGTAGTGCTAATTTGTAAATCTTTTCCGTGTTCCCATTTAACGTGGCTGTATCGTATCCTTTCATCTGGGATTTATCGAGAGGTGACAAACGAGGTTGTGAGAATTTTGTAGATGCGCAGCTCAATATTTCAAAATTTATCAACAAATGTGTGGAAATTGTAAATTTCAGCTCAATTAGTCCATGAAAATTAATAAAAATGTTCAATTACTCGAAAATTTAGTGTAATTTAAGTAAGTTGAGAAATTGTTGAGAAATTTTCAGAGAATCCTGAAATTTCACGTTCTTTTCCTCAATCGAATTTAATATCACTCTTCTGAAAATTACTAATCAAATATTCACGAAATTCAAGTTTTTTCCACATTTATTAATATATTAATTTCGAAAAATTATACATATCGACAATTGCATGCGAAAACAAATGGAAACTATTAATTTGAGTTCAATTATGCAACAAAAATACGGAAAATTCAAGTATAAAAATTCTAAATTTCGTAATGCTTCTAAATTGCGTAATTTATGAGTCTTGGCCCCCTACCGCACTAAATGTCACTCTTCTAAAAATAAAACTATCCATCAAATTCCAATTCTTCATTGACAGTTCACATTCATAAAACAACATGTTTGAAAAATGAAAAGTCCGCGATTATGCTCTTCGCTCTCAAACTCATTTCCGGCTGTTATATCACGTTTCATCGGTGACTCTCACTTTGTCAATTTCGCATGCAACTCTTACAGATACGTCTCACAATCTACATTCTACCTAAATTCTCTCATCGTAATTTTCCAATGAAGAGGCATCCTGAAATTCCAGTGAAACCACCACTTGCTGAAAATCTCAGCGAAATACCTGAAATTCTCTTCAACAATTTGTAGTGTACATAAAGATGACCACGTGGTAGACTGGAATTCCCCATAAATTCATCATACATACGTAAAAAGTATCACTAAACCAGACATTAATGGAAAAAATAATAATTATGAGGCTTAATTATCGACAATGTATGTACTTGAGTGTGACAGAAACGGCCTTCCTCCCAGCCTCTATTAACTGTTTGGTAGCTTGTAACTCTCTGGTGTGCCACGATTGGTAACGGTAATTTGCGAAACGCCGGGATAATTGGATTGCGTAAGAAGATCATAATCTCTGCCTGCATTAAATGGTGAAATACTAAGTTTTGTATGTGTCACAGTAGAGAAGATTGCTACTATACCCAAGGCACATGCAACATGTCGTGGGATATTATTAATATGACTGGCTTGCCTTGGCTGGTCGTATCGATTGCTAGTGATAATGCATAAACACCCATACAAATGCCCAATGGCTTCGAGATCAAAATCAGGAGACGAAAATTTAAATTGAGATAGACTCACTATTGATGATTCCGTTCATCTGCCATTTCCATTGACAACAGCCGAATAAGGACATGAGATGATACGATACTGTGACAAGCACACAATACGAATTAAAAGGAAAAGATAATGATGAAGAAATAAAAAAAGGCAATCCAACGACACTGAATGCTCGCCCACATACCTTGCACCTCACGTCGTACAATACATTGATACATAAAAGCGAGGTCGCGATCCGCAATTCATCTTAAACGATTCCTTTGTATTTTTTACACAATCTAAATCAAGCAATTATGTCATTCATGTATTCCAAAGTGGATGGCACAGCAAAGATAGTGTTGGACGAGTGTCAGTTCCTGTGTTGAGGCGTCAGAAAAATTTGCTGATACCCGAGGAATTTGCATGACCGGAAAAGGAAGAGCGGTGTGAGGTAATGCGTTGAAAAAAAGAGGGTTGGAGGCCGGAAAAGAAGCCAAGTTATTTCAAATGTAAGAATTATTTGAGAAATTTGGGTCGTCATCCGGTGGAATCTGCAATACTGCCAATCCGTCTTCCACCTGACCAAGAAAGAGCCACAGTAGGACGTCGTCGGGGCGTCGCGGCGCCAGTCTTGTGGTATTTCGTAGCTTGAGGTAGTTAACACTGTCCTCATTAAACCCACACGACATTGCAAATAAAACGCATACAGATAATGTTGCGTAGAGAAATAATTTTCTAAACGTGTGCCATTGCCCATTTGTTGTTATACACGTGATATTGAATTACTAATGGAGGCGATGTGCCAAAACTTACCTTGATGTCAAGATGTGCCACGTTGAAGGAGTGAAGGAACGCGATACCATCCAGGATCTGTCGGAGAAGTCTGACAACTTGATGCTCCTCTGGCACTTCGTCCCTGTCAAGCACCATCTGTAGTTCACCACCTGGAGCACTGTAACATTCATTGCATCATGTACTTACACCTATGCGAAAGCAAGGCGAAATTCTGATGAATCGACTGTTAATTGTTCCACAATTATCTGTCAAGTTACGTAAAAAGAATAAAATGCTTACAGTTCTAAAACCAGCACCATCTCAGTATTGGTCTCAAAAACTTGATGAAGCGAAACGAGTTGTGGGCAGTGTGCCGCGGCATCCAGTACCGCGACTTCATGAAGAGCTTCAGCTTTCAGCTCCTGTGCGCGTCGTCTCTTCCTCAGGAACTTGGCTGCCCACTGTCTACCACTTGATCTCTCTCTGCATCGTCTGACTGTAGCATACTTTCCTCTGTAAGATAAACAAGAAAATCTTCAAGTTAATACATCATCATTTCAAGAGTGGTAAACGAGCTATCATTACAAGCACATCGATCATATGAAGTTATCCTAAGTAGCGTAATAAAAGGACATGAGGGAGAACAGGATTAAAATTTTTGACGAGATAACAGAAATCACAAGGGAATGAAGTCTGATAGACGTAAATTCTTATCATCGGTGGGAATCTATCAGTGTGATAAGAGGGGTGGTACACAATAAAGTTGGTGTCAATCAGCGACGGATGGTATGAATCGTGAAGAGGGAGAAATATGGCACACATGATCGGAGAGAATAGGCCCTCGTGACACCGTCTAATCGTCCACTAAAACACGCGTTGAGAGGTCAATTAACTCCATCAACAAGTTTTAATACTTTATTTGTCCCACAGTTGATCGCTAAATCCTCTAGCCCGTGTACATCAATTTGATGAGAAATGATCTTCTTCATATTTTCTTACTGTGGCACCACAAAGGTCAATCGATACGCGATATTAACAGGGTCATCGCCGGCCACTAAAGCCAGATTAATATCGACGAGAGCTCGCGGGCATACCCAATATAACCGTGGCTCTTTATATAGCCTGTGGGCATCATCCAACGTTGATACACCTACTGCACTCTGGGATCAACGATGCGGATGGGAAGTTTACCGGGTGCACCTTCCAACGCTTTGAGAAATCGCGTCGTGGCCTGCTGCCTCGGATTTCACCACGGAAATGCAAACCTACGCTTATGACTATCCACCACTCTGCACGAGTTCGTGAATTCCGTGTTAGTAGTTTTATAAATTCTAATACTGAGCCGAGTAAATTCAATTTTTCCTTCAATTCTCAAATTTTTTTTTGGCGAATCGGAAGACCCATTGTCAGGTATGGAATATCGATCTGACAGTGAATACGTGAGATCCTTAGAAAGGAAGAGTCATAACGTGTTTCAGATTGCTCCGGATAATTGACTGTATTATCCTGAAAATTGTGAAAAAAGGAAAGGAAATTTGAACGTGGAAGAAAAATGCAAGTTACTTCTCTTCTTGACTTAGCGGCTACCGCTTAGGTGGGGTTCCTTGAAGCAGAGTGAAAAGATTCTGCCGACGTGGACAGTAGCATCAACACAAGTCTAGAAAACGTGACCGTCCATGAGAGGCTCTTTGCGAAGGACGAATGGTAGTAATGGATGTCGTAATTTTATGGAAGCCTTCACTTCTACCCTAGGAGTTAGTGATCATCAGTTTGCTGGTGTTCCTAGTATGTACAGTCATACTCCGAGGAAGCAATGAGTGAGGAAAAGATGAGGTAAAGGGGGAGGGGGGGAGGGAGGAGGGGAGACTATGAAAATTCCTTTGCTCCGGTTATCTTGCTTCCGCGCCAACATTCAAGCCTACAGTTGGTTAATGACATGTTTTCTCCTACCCTCCTTCGACATTGCCATACGGTACACACTGAGAAAAAAATGTATTCCTTCCAAGAAAATGTTATTGGTGATATCTTTTTCATACTCTTAGTAGAAGAAAATATCTCTTTTGGAATGTATTTCTCCAGGCCAGTCATTTCCAGGTGCTCCGAAATCAGTTCCAAGCGTGAGAATTATGGTGATCTATAAGAATATTCTTCTGCATATGACCTCGAAGAAACTCCAATAATAATTATTAACATTTGGAATTATTCCAATTTTCTTTACCTGAGAAAATCGCCAATTTGTAAAATCCGGAAGATATCGGAGAACATTTTGTCAAGGTCATATGTAGCATAATAATCAGATTGTTCAACATCACTGTAATTTTTGAGGATAGACTTGGACTCTCTGAAAATGACTGTCCTGGAAAAATTCGTTCTGAAAAAATATTATCTTCTGACGAGAATATCAATCCTTGGCAGGAATAATTTTTTCTCTCAGTGCAGTCGGTGTTCAAAGTGTTCAGGCGGTTTTTGGTAGATCGAATGAACAGTTTAACGTTCCGTGATTATTGTTTGTTATTCGAATGCTTTAGTCATCACGTCAAATGATGGCTTTGTCCTCTGAATGCTTCAGGTAGCTCAAGATAAGGTTGTTAGCCGTAAGAATCGATCAAGCATGAAGAGAAATACTAGGCAACTTCAAGACCTTTGAAAATAGAATGAAAGAAAAAAAACAACTGCAGAATCATCTTCTGAGAAGGTGTAGGCAAGTTGAAATTGTACTATTGGTGCACAGTGTGCGGCAAAACGGCATCGTAATTTTACGCACCAGGAGTCCCAACTTGGCTGTTGTTTCAGCAACAGTTGTCGGTCGATCTTCGGTTATACACTGTAAGCCACCAACTGATGAGATAAAGACAACAACGTTACAGCGTCAGCCTTTGTTCTTTCTACCTCACGGGTCATCCCGCAATGAGAAAAAGAGAATGGTGCATTCGTTTGACTTGAACAATCATTTCAAAGGGTAAAAATAACCTTTTTAAATTGATAAAAAAAAAATAATAATACCGGATCTTCGGGTCCTCTTGGTTCCACTCGTTGCAATGACCACGACCCACATCCTTCGAATGGGATGGTAATTTTGTAATGACGCACAACCAAATGAAAATAATCTAACGTGATGTATACCAACCGAGTATTACTTCTGACGAAAAATTTTCTCCGCTATAAACTGGAACAAGTTTTGTGGTTATACTTTCTCAACGGCATGAAGAATCATTTATTTTATATTCACTCGGACAACAATACTTGTACGATTGTATATTCTTAGGACAGGTAAATAAGCTAGGAATTCCTCGTGTGAATCCCATCATGAGGAAGCAAACTCGTGAGGTGGCAAGTGTTACCAACGATAGTGACCTCCTACAGTATCCAGTGACTCAGGAAGTATAAACATAACGAAAAAGGCGTCAATGCACTCCTGAGAATGTATAATTCAAAAAGTTCAAGAAGATGTGAGAGAATAAATGGTTTTGAGATGTTGAGGAATACATTTTTTATTTTCTACTCAACATATTCTGTGGTAGCTTCTAGAGTTACGATTAGATACAAAAGCAGCAGAGAGGGTGTACCACACTAGGCACTTTGTACATCATAAATACATCACAACATTCAAAAGAGCCCCAGTCTTCCGGGTATATCTCAACGGGCCGTCCTGATCGCTTGCTTTTATGATGCATATAATACAGTATAAGAATCTGCTGCTGTAGAAAGCCAACACTTTCACCTGACGCCTCTCCTGCGGGATGTATTCAAGAAAGGTGTATAACAGTACACCATGATGTATATTTTCATGGTATTTTATACATCATGTGATACTCCCTTTTTCTCATACAGGTGTAGGTCTACGATTACCAATGCCTTGCCTACACAATCTCAACACACCAATCTTTATCGTTCATCTTTCTGGGAACGTCTTTCACTTGCGTACCAAAGGCGGCGCACGAATGTCGTTCCAACAATAAACATCCATCGATCCTGTGATCTCTCAGATCTTCAAACGTAGAATGTAATAGAACAGAACAAGCAAAATCACTGATTTCAGGTCTAAATCTCGTGGTTATCACATGCGTTATTTCACGTGTGATTAATACACCTCACGTTGAGCTATTATTTTTCCAACAAGCTCGTATTTTCATGGGAATTCCACGATGCGAATCATTCTGGGTACCTCCTCAACCTTATTTTTTTCCTTCATCTCGTTCACTCCCCTCTCCCCGCCGACTGCCGGCAAAGATTAATTTAATTCACGATTCAAGCCGTCGAGATAGATTACGTGTGTGAGTTTAAATGAGACAAGCTGTGTCTCCAGTGGTGTTTTCCCACGAAGCGTGCTAAAGGGGAAGTTCTCAACTCTCGTACATCTCCTCTATTCCCCGAATGGACGTTGATATCTAACCTTGCACCACGTGCTAGAGCGTGGTTAACGTTGGAGGGAAGGACCCATGGTCAACCTTCCGGTTCGTCGAACAGCAAAGACCATTAAAACTAGCTCTTGTCCACTGGCCATTGGATCAATGACCCCATTGCTCTTTGCTACATGCCGACTAGGCACCAGGAAATTGTCTCTCGTGCTTAAACGCACTGGCGATCGTGCCTTGTAATTCTTTTCTTCTTTCTTTTAAGGTCAAACTTTAACATCCCGTAATGTTCGGTTAACGTTGACATTCACGAATTAACCGCGGAAACATCTACACCTTGGGTGGCTCTTTGTTCTCCGTGGCTTTAATGTCAGAAAAGAAGGTGCATCGAGGATGACCTGTTCTATCTGTTGGTCATCAACTTGACTTGTTTCACCGCACGCACCTTGCTCGAGTTAATGCGACAAGAGTAACTGTTCTGTCATTAGAAAACCGTCATTTTGAATCACCCATCAGTCTGTGTATACATGAGAATGAGGTTCGTTAAACCCGGAAAACCACGGGTGGACATGAGTTAATCAAATTGTTGAAATTATTTCCTCTGTGTATTGCTTCTTTTGTGAATTTTCAATTGCTATCTGGTGATTTAATGGCGTTCGAGGTTTGGTGTGGCCCGAATAAAAGGTGAACAGTGCAATTTCGCAAGAGTTTACGAATGAGAACTATCGCAAGGAATTTGGCGTTTCACAGAGATGTTGTGTAATGAATTTACATTAGGCACTGGAGGGCGTTTTAAAAGGATGAAGGAAGCCGAAAAAGGCGATGGGGAAAAGAGAAAAGCCTTCGCCATTGGGGTAGACAGATAAATGCACCGTCTACGTTAATTCTCTTAATTGCCAATGGAAGGCGCTCGCATAATTAATGACCGTGGACCGAAAGTGCATACTATGCTGGCCAGTTTGAATTTCCGCGTTGCATACACTGAGCTTAAAACCCCTCCTCCTTGTAATGAGATAATTAGAAGCCCGTTAGCGGTATGGACCAATCTACCGTGTGCACGAGAGTGACTATACCACAAAATGTGTTGGGTTGTAAAGCGTGGAAACAAATCTTAAGGGAATGACAAGCGGAAGAAATTCACTCGCGAGTGGTTAAGCT